AGCCCTAGAGTCTGTTGTCCTGTGCTAAGTTTGAAGAACATATGCATGGAATTGAGCTGCATTTTAGAGATTATATTCCTGAGAAGAATTTAACAGTCCTTCATATTCTTTGTGGGAAAATGTCCACATTGAAAAGAGTTGTTTCAAAATTCAGCCTCTTGGCTGAATAAGATTATCCATCTGTGGCTAGGCTCTGCTGTAGACCTCTATATAGGGATAGTGATTGGGGGTATGTCTGCTGTAACCCTACAGATTTAAAGTAGGGCTTTATCAGTAGTGGTAACATCTGGTACCCTCTCCTGTGAAGACTATCCTGCTCACTGCTTTAGAAGGATGATAAAAATGGGATTGTTTTGAGATCAATATTTCTAAAAACAAGACAGATGGGTTTGTTGCTGGATTGGTCTGACTTTGTGGTATACTTATATTTTTGTTATTTTTATGTTAATATGTTTATCTCTTAAGACTGATATTTTATCATGATTTTACATTTTGTGAGCCATCTGCAAGGCTCTGTTTTAAACAGGTAGGATATAAATTTTAAAATAAATTTAAAAAATAATCAATGCTACTTTTGAAAGGAACTCCCATTCTTAATTGCTTAGTGTGTTTATAAATGATACCTGGAGAGAATGCGGCAAAAATGATGGTCTGAAGAGTTGAAGATTAATACATATGTTACGGTTAATACATTTTGTATCTCAGTGGCCTAAATCAGCATAGCTGACAATAGCATTGGGATTTCCTTCCCCTCCTCCTCCTCCTTGCAGGCTTTGAAGATATCTGATAATCAGCTCCAGATTATTTTACAGCCTTCTTGAGCAGGTTTTGGTGAACAGTACTTTTGTGAGTAGAGGTCCTGCACTGGGGTAAGCCCCAATTAATTTGAGTAGTCTTAGATGTAGCTTCAGGTCTGTACTTTAGACTAGTCTTGCAGGTTTGGTTCCATGCTTGAGCATAAATATCTGTCTAGGTAAAGGACGAAATATCCTGAAGACCCTGTCTGATCTTGGGAGCTAAGTAGGGTGAAGCCTATTTAATACTTGAGTGGGAGACTACCAAGGAATACCAAAGGCTATAGGTTATATTTCAGAGAAAGACAATGGCAAACTGCCACTGAGTATTCCTTGTCTAAGAAAGGCCTGTAAAATTCATGGGGTTGCCATAAGTTGGTGACAGGCAACTTGAAGACACACACATGCTGTTATGAGGACTCATTCAATAATTACCTGTTTCCAGGCATAGGCCTTCCAGAAGCTTTTCCAAGCTTTTCTGTAGTAATGAGAAAGGATTTTAAAACATTTGTAATTTAAAAAGGGTATAGGTTTTCAAAATGGTGTGCGGGAAAGATCGTGCATTTCACGATGCTGTCTGAGCTGTGTAGTTTTCTGGATCATCTATTCTTCACTATTATTAATTATTCCAAGTTAAAGATTTTAAAACATTTTGTTCATTACCCTGTTTATACTGGGAGTTTTCCTAACCCAAGGAGATCATTTTCATTTCTGTTTAATGGAAAAATGTGGCTGAGATAGAAATCTCTCTCAGGCTTATTTGAGTTCATGGCTGACTGGCTGAAGTGTAAACTAGCTACCTGTTAGAAGACACCCCCAAACTCTGAAGCCTATTGTTTAATAAAAACAATTAAACTTAACGACTTTTAAAAATATTTGCTTGCAGGGAGACATAAGGATCAAATCCTTATCTGCTGCCATTTCAGTTAATATCTTCCAGAACTGACGTTCCCTCATTGTCTTTTCCCCTTTTAGCTGAAGCCAAGAGATGGAACCCCCTGAAGTTACCATCATTGAAGGTGTGGGGGATGAGGTGACGGTGGTGGCTGGTGTAGTGGTACTTGGCATGGCCCTGGTCCTGGCCTGGCTTTCCACATATGTTGCAGATGGGAGCAACCATCTTCTGGGAACTGTAGTGGCTGCTGATCATTCATCAGGGATCCACCTGAATCCCATGGAACGCTATGTGGGGAATTCATCGTCGGAGCAGTCAGAACCCCCGGGTGCCACAGAAGCTGCTGAAGAGAAGGCTGATGAGGGTGCTGCTTCTGACTCAGGCATTGCAGTTGAGCAAGGAGATAGCAGTGGTTCAGATGCTACCCTGGACCATTTATTGGACATTCAGGGTCTGCCCCAAAGGACTTTTTCTCTTGAAACTGTTTCCCGGGAGAATCAGAGGGTTACAGAAACGGAACCTGCTAAGGAGAGTGAACCAAACCCAGGGCTTATCAAAGTGCGCCTCAAATTCCTGAATGACACTGAAGAGGTGGCTATTGTGAAGCCAGAAGATACCATTGGCATCCTCAAGAGGTGAGTACCATTGGATATAGAAGGTACATCATTGGTATGTTTTTTTTCTTTTTTCTTGTGAAGTTTAGTGTAGTTTATCTAGTAAAATGCCACCATTGCAATAGCTAAAATTCTGAGAGCAACAAAAATCTGAATGTGAAATTAACAGATTATCAGACTGCAGTTAAGTCAAGTGGGGGTGGTACTTCTATACATACTTACATGGAAGTACGTCCTGCCAAAGTGAATAGAACTTTCTTCCAAACAGACATGTATAGGACTTTTTTGTGAATTAATTTTATTTGTCTGAGGTAAGCCATAATAACAACAGTAAACAAACAGTGCAATATAAAAAAAAATCTATGCAGTCATTGATAATTAAAACCACCCACCACATCTGCAGGAAAGCAAAAGCCTTTAGGACAGCTTCTTTGCTGTGACAGTATATAAAGCAGGGATGAGATGCATGTATTCCTCCAGATTTTGGACTCTAAATCCCAGTATTCCTCACCATTGGCTTTTCTGGCTAGAACTGCTGAAAACTGTAGACTAGTTGTGTCTGCAGGCCTGTATAACTCCCATCCCTGATACAAAGCCACCTTTTCAGTTGCATATATGCTGCTATGTACAAAGCACTCCACAGACATTATCTTATTGTATACAGTTGACTATAAATTGACCTCATGTATACGTTGAGGGCAGGTTTGGGGCCAAAATTACAGGTTTTGGTATGACACATGGATAAGTCAAAGGTAAAACTTAGGGCATGTAACAAAGGATGTACAGGACGAAGCAAAGAAAAATGATGCCACAAAATTCTAGTAGGCATAACTAAAGGCTGGAGATGAGGAGGAAACTACAGTAAATATTTTGATATGTGTGGAGGTTAACAGGCACAATTGGGACTAAGAAAACACACACATCACAAAAAGGATGAAAAGACAAAGCAGAGAAAATGGTGACTATGTGCCTAAGCAGACTGCCAGAAATAGTGCACATTAAATTGAGGCACTGCCCTGGCTCAGTGCTAGGGAATCATGGGAACTGTAATTTATTGTGGCACCAGAGCTCTCTGACAGAGAAGGCTCAATGTCTCAGAAAAAAATACAATTCCCATGACTCCCTAGCACTGAGCCAGGGCAGTGCCTCAATTTAATGTGCACTATTTCTGGCAGTCTGCTTAGGCCCTATGTTAGCAGTGATTGTAGCTTTTACAGGGATAACTTGACATATTATTAACCCAGAAAAGCTGACAAACATACACAAATTTCTTATTCAGATCCTTCAAAGCCTGATTCCTCCCAGCACACCTTTGAGAGGAAATGCCAAAAAGCTGCCACCGCCACCACCACCATTTCCCCACCAAGGCATTTTAAAATGTCAGAAGCAGCACTATGGCAGAGAGGGTAAAGGGGGTTGGTGCTTTTTTTAGGTACTCTTGGGCAGTTGAGCTCTCACCTTTTGTCACACTACTCAGTGAAGGGGATGGTTCCTTTTTGATGAGTTAAAATGCAGTACTTACATTGATAAATCGACCCAGATTTTTGGGGTCAATTTTTTGACTAAAATTTCTAGACTTATACATGAGTATATACAGTAATTTTCTTTATAGGAAACTTTGAAGTGAATGTAGGATAATATTGGCTTGCCTAAAGCCATCCAGTAGGTTCATAGCTGAAGTGAGACTTGCACTAGGGCTTTTTGAGCTCAGTGTTCATACTCTGAACCATTACACTGCTTGTTCAGCTGCTGTTTTTCTGATTTTTCATCTTGTCCATCATCATGAAATAACTGGCTTAAGGCTAAGCATGAATCATTTCTGGGCACCAAAACTATTGGTGCTACTGCCCAAAGTATCTGACCAGTTCAATGTTGGGCTTGAATGTAATGAAAAAGAAATGAATTGGAAAACAGTAGGCATTACTTTCAAATGTGAAGCAGTGATCCTTCAGACACCATTTTCCAGTGCCTTGATTTTTTCCTCAGAATTGCTTTGGTTGAGACATGATTAACAGGAATGATAGGTGTAGGAATCTCTTGCCTCTTCTACACCATGGCTGATGATTAATCTCCCATAGTGGCAGTTATAACTTGAAAACTTTTGTCAGATACATGGATGTAGCTATTGGGGAAGAAGAAAATAAGTTTGACAGACACTGTGTCATCAGCAGGTGAACAGAGGCACGACATGTTAGCTGGCAACCTCTTCAGTGGTTACAAGATCATAAAGTGGACAGATGATCTTGTAACTGCTGTCGATTCATGTTTGTGGTCATTAGTGACTAAACATGAGGCCCAAAACCTTTTCAGGTTGGCAGCACCCCAGTCAAAAGGTTTCAAGGTGCTGCAGATTGAAATGTTATCTGCATTGCTCTCCCAGTCATGGAGTGCCTTGAGATAAGCAGTTGCAGCAGGATCTTGAGGGGTTTCTCCAGCTGCCTGTTCTTGATGATGTGGACATCATTTTCCAGTGCCCTGATCTCCAGTGCCACAGAAACGTGGCTGAAAAGGTGGGGTTTTTGGGGGGAAGGGCATCATCAGACATAACGTTGATGGTGGAGCCTTATCATTGTTGTTAATGTCTGATGATG